TTACCACTCTCAAGGCAGTAAAAATTATTCTTCCACCTTTATGGCAACATGAGGGCAGCTTTGAACTTTTAACGTCAATTGAATACATTTATATATCCTTAGTATATGTTTTCTCCTCCTTTTCTGCATGTTTATAATTTTTTTCCTCTCTTAGTACCTGTTTTTCTCTGCCTTAAGGTCCCTTCCAACCCAAACCACTCCGTGATCAGTGAGGGAAAGCACCAGGCTCAGATCCCAGGCAACACAGCCCCGCCTCAGGCAGGCGAAAGCCTGTTACGAAATCAAGTTGTGCAACCCCAGACCGAGTCACGAGGATGGTGTCCACCTCAGACATCCCTGGGGCCTCCAGGATGGGAAAGCACAGACACCACCAGCTGCGGAGAGCACACGTCACACCGGTGAGGAGTCATATTTATTCAGGCAGTGGCCGATTTCAGCGTGAAATAACACAGAGCAGAAGTGCCCCCTCCTGACACACAGCCTTCTCATACCATCGCTTGTTCACAAACGATTAGCAACAAGCTTCTTGCTTTCTTCATTCATTTCTGATTCATAAAAGAAAATCATCCATCTTTTATTTCTTCTGCATTAAAATATCCTAATTTTTTTAATTAAAAAAATACTTTAAAAATTCAACGAAAATAGGTAAGACTTAAAAATCACAGCATTCATCCTTCTCGAGAGAAAGGCAAAAGCTCCTTCACAGAAAATTAAGAATAAAATGCCTAGGAGTTAGCGCTGTTGTTTGGGAAATGGCCACCTGAAGGAAGGGGTGAGCTTTGTCAGGTTGTGTCTGAAAGCTGGGTAACATTTCCCTCATCCCAGCAGCCCCCCGCTGCTGACTGCCCTTGGCCGGGACAGGCTGCCAGAGGCTGCGGGTGAGGCGAGGAATCTGTCTGCAGGGAACGACTTTTGGCAGAGTGGTGTTTCATCTGGTTCTCGCTCTGGAAATCTGTGCACAAACCAGCCGCTCCTCTTCCTGTGCCCGCCTCCCCCAGCCCGCGCTCTCCTCTCACACCTGAGGAACTGGGTAAGATGCACAAGCCGCAAGACCACACATGTTCTTGCCACGTTCAATCAGGAAGTACCTAAAAAGAGGAAGAAACGTGTAGGAGTGAGCGTCCTCCCCTCCAGCAGAGTCGGCGAGACAGAGAGTGATGTCAGGCGAGGGCTCTCCTTACGGGCGAGCTCCTTTCTCACCTTGCCAGCACCTGCAGCAAATACCTGTGGCGCAGCCGCTGCCGCCAGCAGTTAGCCAGGCGATGCAATTCCCTGTCCCCCTTACATCACAGACACCCGACTCTAAAAAATGTCACTTGCAGCTGGAAATACCAGTGGAGCTGGAGTGAAACTCACTCCCGGCACGACCCTTTCTTCTCTGGCCATGTCACGGGGAAGAGACGTGGTTCTCTCCTGGCACCATGGCTCTCACCCTGGTGATGAGGGTCTACTCTGACAAGTCACCCCAGGGCTGGTTTGTAGGGGCTGGGATGATTTCCCTGCCTCTTCCCACAGTATGAAACAGCTGCAAAAAGCGACCTGGGGGCTGGAGAGGGTGAGTGGAATCCCATACGCGTGACTCCCCTTTTACTGGGTACAGGTCTGGTACCGTCAGGACTTCCTTACCCGTCCATGCCCCACCGTGGGCCCCAGGAGTTCTTCACAATCCAGTACGGAGTCCCGTCCTCTTCTCCGTACCCCACAGCGAGGACAGCATGGTTCACCTTGTCTGGAGTGTGCTCGCATCGTGGGCTGCAAAGGGTCGTAACGCAGGTTTGTTACCTGACAAACCAGCCTGTGACTGCTCAGGGGTGAGCTGGCATGGCCGCTTGCGCCCAGCTGCAGGGAGAACTTACGGATACTCTGAACTTCTAGTTGTGGAGAGTAGGGAGGGAAGCCAAGGAAAAGAGGTACTGCCCTGTTTTCTCACTCGGGAATTATTACTGCCCATGTCTGATGGGGTACATGGAACTGGGATCTGAGCACCTGGTCCTGCCTCTTATTCGGAATTAATGTCAACATTGTCACACAAGAACGAGCCACAAGGAGAAAATGCAGCAAAGGAATTTTTCCAGTGAAAAACAGAAGCTCTTAGTTCATCCCTGTAAGAGTTTGTTCTGCCCCAAAGGTCAGGGGTACTGTTCCAAATTTTGCACACAGGGAACAGCGAGTTACTCAAACTAAATACACATTGCCTTGTATTTCCTCCGGATTTCCAGGGTTTATATTGCACTTGATGAAAGCTGCTGCCTGTGGTATCAAACAAGACAACACGGGGTACATACTCCCACCTCCAGAGCACTTATTTTTAAGCATTTTCAAATGGCAGATAACCAAAACAGATTTACTTTTCTTGAATCTGCCAACAGTTGCTCAGGGGAGCACAGGCTGAAACCACTGGAGCATCAATTATCCCACGGCTCTGACTTCAGATCTACCTTAGGCTACAAATCTACAGGATAACTTGGCGTGTTCCTCAAACTGAAATCCTACCACGAAGTATCTTGACTGTCTTACCTGCTTTCACACCTTACACCTGCCTGTTGCTTTCTCTAAACTTTGACATTACGGCCTTTATTACAACAGCAACGCCACCTGAATTTGCGGTGCTGCCGCCTCTTGCCCCTGCAGCTCCACGGAGCAGATCGCTCACACTTAGACTCTCAGTTTAATTTTCCCTGCAGTTCTATGTGACTGAGGATTCATTAAAGTATTTTTCTAGTTCTCTCCAAACATGCGCTTTGCCTACTTCTTGCCTAAT